GTTGGTATTAATTGTAAGTTTATTAGTGTTGCACCATGTGTTCACCATATCTAAATGTAAATCAACTTCAGCGCTGGGTATATTGTTACTGGAAAATGAATGAAAAAGATTTGAGTCATCCACATTACAGGATCTCGGCAGGTGCCAAAATTCTTTTCCAAGAAACCATGGATTTTGGAGGGCACACGTTTCAAAACAATGGTTAGAAATAAGAAAATATGACTATTTTTATTGATGAGTAGGCTTCTACCTTAAATTAGTCTATAACAAATGATAGCAGTAATAACAGTTATGTTTGAAGCAGTTTTTCTGCAAAGTTCAGGTAAACATTCAACGCAAAGCGACCCATTTCGTGCCAAAGCACTGAAACATTGCTGAGTGAAATGATCGAAGGTTGACCATAGTGTTTACATTGTCCTGACGTATGTCTTGTTCATGAGATATCTGCCATATTTATCATGATAATGACTGGACTACTAAACACATCACAAATCATTGCTCTGACAAAGCACAGCACTTTGCCACTAGAGGTTGATACGTAGAGACACACATAATTACTAGAACTAATCAGATCAGTGACAAAATTCTTAAGAAATAAGAAACAATAACAACATCTTATTATTAATTTGAAAGAGACAAAATTTAATTTTTTTAGGGTTATACACTGCAGTGTACTAAACATAACCAATCTAGTCTGCAGTAAAGAGAGACAAGTGACGTATTATACCAATCAGAAATCTTTAAAACGATATATTGGGTTGTTAACATACCTACGTATTCCATCAAATGCACTGCTAGCCATGTCAATGACACCACCAGTCGGCTTGGCAACAACTCCAACAAGGCCTTTACCAACACCCTTGAAGAAGCCTGCAGCTCCCTCTTTCTTGGCACCTGCGAGTTGAACAAAGTATTTGACTGTTTGCAATTTAAACAAATGATGTTGGCATATTTATGACTGTTAATTTTACCTGTTTATATAACACCACAAATTACATCTCTGTATCTCATATTTTTTCTCAAAAATCATGATGCACAACATTTTGCACACTCTCATACATTTTTCCATAATTTATTTGTTTTTGTTTTTGTTTTTTTAAGTATTTTTGTGCCAGGCGACAGTTCTGGACATTGAGTGTCACTGTTGTCTCTCCTGACTTTTTTTCTGTTTTGAATGTGCAAATTGCAAGTGCTGACACATAATGCATTTTTGCCACAGAAGTCATATTCATGTTTGGGACTACATGACTACATGCCTACATGCCTTCCCATTGAGTCTGTGGCACACTCACCCAGGGTAGGAGTCGATCCTTTGGATATTCAGCCTAAGGTAGGATTTGAACTTGGGTCTACCGATCATAAGTCTGAAGCGACAACCACTATGCTACAAGTAACTGGTTTCTAATTTGTTAATTTTGAACCAAATGGACATACATTTTTAGTTGCTATAGATCTTGATTCAAATTATACAAGTTTATTTTCTGTATGGTGACAAAAGTTGACAAAAATTGAAATACCTTTAACGGGTTGTACCACAATTCCACTGACACCTTCAACAAAGCCCTATGAAAAGAAAAAGATTGTTTCAATTTCATACTCATTTAATTGTATAAGAATGCCTTAGCTTTAGTGAATAGTCAGAGCTTGGAAGTTTGAGAAACCATTCTTCAGATATAATTTACATACCATGACTAATCCCTTTCCACCACGCGCCAAACCTTCTTTCAAGTCTGCAGGTCTCTGATTCATTGCTTTCAGTCTCTTCTTCTGGTACTCTTCATCCATTGTTAGGGCAGCTAAACCTTTACCCAGGGTGCCAGTTACCCTAGAAACAACACCAGCAGCCCCACCTAGCAACAAGAGAAAAACACAGTACTTAGGAATATATTTATTATTTTTATCAGTGATGACAACAGACATCGATAAACAATTGATAATTATTAATAATAATAATAATTATTTTACATTATTCCATGTCTTCAACTTTTTGAGAAAAACAACTGAAGAAAATACCATACACAAGCATCATAAAATATGTAACCTACCAACAGCATGACCGAATAAGCTGCGAACACCAAGTGCTAAACCTTCAGCAAATTCTTCAGGACCTTGTACTGCACCCTGGGAAATAAACAATGACTGTTGACTCTTGGATTCAAGACCCAAAAATATAGATATATACTATAGACCATAGACAAAAATTTCTGCTGTGTTCAATTCTCCCAGGATTACTGTTCCCCTGACTAATGTAACCAAGGTATGTCAGTGGTTATTGCAGATAAAAATTTTTATGTTACAGACTTCTGTTCTTAATCATGGATTTATCGTATAAACTAAACCTGACACAGAGGGCGGTATTGCAAAATATGACATCATTATGAAACAATTCTGGATTTCTGCCATACTATAAAAATTCACCACAAGGAATAGAAACATTGGGAAATTAATCTGTATATTTGAAAAACAACGCTCTCAATGGCTAGGTATGTCAAAAGACAAAATATTGACACAAGATAAAAGCATTAACGCACACATGTGTATCATTAAATCCAGAACAGACACTTACCTGGTATGGTTCATAGAAGAGATCAGTGACACCCTCAGTCAAACCACGTACAAAACCGAATGGATTGCCCAGTACATCCAAACCTAATACCAACACGTATGCTTGCTTGATTGCCTGACTGGAGTAATGTTTAATCCCTTCACCTGTCAACTCATTTGTTGTATAGAACTGGTGTTGACGTTCAAAGAAACCAAGTCTACGAAATAAACGAACAATAATTAATCCAACAATCAACCATAAAAAAGGAAATGACATCACATATACCGTAAAAATTATATTTCAGGCTGCAGCTTTAATAGAAGCCGCACCCCTAGCTTGAGACATTGTTTCATGTTGAAATTGACAAGTTTTGATCCCAGGAAAAAGCCTGTAATATGTAAGCCGCACCTCAAACTTTCACAAACCAAACAGCCACCACATATTTCAGAAAAAGATATACCATTTAATTTTAAATTAAGGCATAATTTTTCGAACATTTCAATGATTCCTGACACTTAGATTAGAGTCTAATCTAGGTTTTCCGGAGTCATTGACGCTTATTCCAGAGTACAGGTTTTTTGTGAGTAGCGTGAATGAGTAAACTGCGTTTCGACAATGAGCTGTTATTATAGTCAAAAGTGTTAAATTCTTCTTCAATGCTCAGCTTATCTTTCGAAAACAACTAATTTCTTGATTTAAAAAAAAAATCATGCCGTTTTCCCATCAAAATCAAAGCCAAACGATCGCACTACAACAACGGTAAATCTCTTCCGCGTTTCGTTCACCATGAGGTTGCTGAACTACATTAACATATTTAAATGAGCTATGGTAATTTAATCATGTTGGCACCATCCAGCGTGTTGATTGGTTAATTAGCGACTTGACTTATCAGGTCAAAAAAACAGTTTCAAGTCACAAAGGATGTTTGAACAAACATGGCGAATATCGAATAGAGATTTTATATGTGACCGAAATCATACGCTTGCGGTGAAACTAAGTTGAATTTTCACAACAATTCAACGAATTTATTTTTTGTATGTTATTGTAATCACTACTAAGTAATAATCAGCAACTGTAACACTTCAAAAACAAGTAAGTTATTCACTTATGTGAAACTCAGCATGACCGTTACCGTGATCATTTGCTACTAAGAATGCATTCATTTTTGTTTTTACTTCTTTTAGAATATACTTTTCATTATCAAAAGAAAAAAATAAGAAAATAAATATATATTACATTAAATAATATACTGAGTATTTTTTTTGTTACCGGTATCATGCGAACATTTTTTTTTGATTGATTTTTTTTATTTTAATTTCCCCGATGTCTAAATTAAACATGGAATGTACAGTCACTCTGCCGGAAGTTGAATATGCCAGTAGTCGAACGCAATCGACTGTGTCAGACGGCTGTCTCTCAGTTGTGACCTATACCGGTGCTAACGAATTAGTCTATTTAAAGCGAACCTAAATGCGGCCTTAATTTATAGTTGTGTATATTCTAAACTGTATTCGAAATAATAGTGCAGTGGTTTAATTTTGTTTTAATTATAACTGTAGCTTGGATAGGCATTTGAAGTGCTTGCAATTAAACACCGTGGAGGCCATTCATGGAGGGGAATAAATAACGAACGAACATATTTAACATCCGGGTACTTTTCAAAGCTATGACGTTTTAGTATCTGATCGCATTCGTATACGCCACTGTACATAGGCGTTTATGCTGCCAAGCATTGTGTACTACTTGTATAAACTCAACTTTTATATGCATAATGTGCTTTTTAAAATTTGGGTTAGTAGAGCCTTATTTGTTTGAACCACAGTATTCTGAGAGTGAAAGCCCAATTACGTTAAAGTAAGCCCCGTAAGCCCCTCCCGAGTATGAAGCCCATCCCTATATTTTTACTTGGTATTTATCGAGTTGAGAGCATTCACG